TCACCATCTGTTAGCTCCATGTTTTTTTTTCCTACAGAAAATATGAGCTAAAATTTTCAAGTATTAAAACAAACTTTAATTCAACTTGATAAACATTTACCAAACATCTATTGCCTATGAAATGCTGGAATAAGAAGTTTAGAAGATAAAAAAGATCCAGATATAATTTTGCCTTCCTTTGTGGTCTGGGATATATGAGTCTACATGTGTGTGTGTGTTTCCACGCATGTGTGAATTTGAATATGGTAGGATATATGAAAATTTGCAAAAGTTTGTTCCTGGCAAGTATATAAAATAGGTATCAAAAAGAGCTATAGGAAATTATAGAGAAAAATTCATTTCTTTGTTGTATAAAATAAGATTTTGAAATAAAAAGAAAACGATTGGGAAGTTTCTAGGTGCTGAAAGCCATGGTTTTCTCAGTGATAGTTTACATCTTGGTTAATACTTACATTGGGTTGAGTCAGCTCATCTGCAACACTAGTACCATGCCCATGATACTGGGTTGTTGTGTATTCCATGTGTATCAGGCTATGAGAAGACATATGAGGATACATGTGTATTAAGCTATGAGAAGAGACACAGGATGGGGGACACTCCTGACTATAACAGAAACTAGTGGCTAAATGAGAAATTCAAGCTGGGCTTGAACTTTCCCATTCTGCCCTACTTAATTGACAAGGCTTACTAAATTGCCCAGAGCAATGCCACCTGTGCTGCATTACCTGCAAGCACAACCTATATGGGGAACCTGAAGAGCAGAATCAGGTTATGTGCATCTCTAATCAGCTGCCCAGAGTCTGCTGTAGTCCGGACTTTGAGAAACTGAGGCCAGAGTGCTTGGAGGGCCTCCCAGAGAAGATGAAAGGAAGGCAATAAAACTCATCCAATACTAACTTAACAGTCCCTGGGGAAGTGGCCATGGTTTGTTGGTGACAGGATCACCTGTATTTTCTCACTTATGATATCCTTGATGTGCACCATATATTTTACTCCAAGTGCCTAGATGAGTTTTGAACATTTTGGACATTAGTTCCCTCTTTGAGAGCTTGAAGAATATCTCTGCCTATATGAAGTCCAGCTGCTTCCTCCCAAGACCTGTATACTCAAAGGTGGCCACTTGGGGCAACAAGTAAGGCCTTGAAAAGACAGGATCAGGAGTGAGGAGCCTGTTCTCTTCCTGCTGCCCAAGGTCCTGGGGAGTGGCCAGACCTCGTGAAGCTCTTCATTCTTTCTCCTTCTTTCCAGTTCTGTATCATATCCAAGGCCTTATTGCCCTCCTTTCTCTCACTAATCCTGAGAAAGGAATTTGGAGATACAGAAAAAGAAAGAGTGACTGAGTCTCAAAAGAGAAGCCCTAAAATACCCATGAGCCTTTGAAATCCAAAATGAGTACTCCTGAGCAACTCAGCCCATGTCCTTTGCCCATTCCAATGACCCAGCCTCTTGCCTGCAGATAGTCACATGAGGAAAATGCACAATTGCTAGAAAAATTGATATGAAATTGTGTAACTCTGTCCTGGCTCCATATCTAGTCCAGCCCCTAGCTATGATTCCTCTATAAATATTCATACCGTATACCAAGGGGCTGCTGTCTGTCCCTCTGGAGATGACATGTGTCCTCCCTTGAATGTGTACTCCTTGCTTTACTCCAAAAGCTTCTCATGCTCAAGCTGGTTGACATTTTCCATTTAATGTGTATTTCTTACTTTACTACCACAGATGTTTCTCTGGAGATATCCTGCATTCCCCTATGAATGCGTATCTACTTTCCTAAATAAATGTTTGTGTCTCTGAAAAAAAATTATACCAGGTTTAAGGGATGTTTATATAAGAGGCTTCAGTAGGCCTGAGAATCTGAGAAAATTACCTGTTCTATGCTTGTTTCCCCAGAATTTCTTTTGTACCAACAGCTTTTTAAACCCATCTGATCTTTCCATAATAACACTTTCTTTTTTCCCCTTTGAAACTATAGTGGTGCCAAAGCAGAGATTTATTCTTAGTGTGGATCTAAGTCATACATGGAAGACAATGAAACTGTTATGCACGTGTTGAAAAGAACCTGCTAAAAACAAGATGTAATGGGTACTTTATCAATTTAGTTGAATAAATTTTATCTTGCTTAGAAAAGACTTTTTTAAATAATGCTTTTAAAAGTCATTATGCAAATTTCTTCACCTGGAATCTACTTGAGGGTTTAATAATAAGACTTTAGAAATAAGCTCCAACTTTCCCCTGAGATCTAATCAATATGCAAAAAAGACATACACTATTTTGAAATGACAAACAATGGGGAAGTTATTCTTTTTGCTCATTCTCTGTGACCTTGCAAATGACTATTTGTGCCAAAAATTACGTAAGTATTTGGATGACTTCCTAAAGAAATTAAAATGAAATTGAGTCATACTAAAGCCTTATTCAATTAGGCAATTGTACTTACAGATTCATTTTTAAAAGAAGCTAGATAAAACTGGTTTTTAAATTTTATTGGGCAGGGCTCATCTTTTGAAACAGGAGGGTGTATCCCTCTTATATGATGTTAAAGATTATTCAAGTAATTAAGGATGGGTGCTAACTATCACATAAAATAATTCTACTTTATTAATAGTGCTTGCCTTGGATTTTCCAAACATACTTTTATTTGCCCCAAATTCCATGAGTCATTGGCTTTCTGAATTGAATGCTCTGCACACTTCCTCACCCATGGCTTTTCTACAGCCTCCAGTCCCATACTGCAGTCTTGCTTTAAGGTTGATAATAAAACTTGGAGACGTGCTTAGGTGATTGTTTTATTTGTGTATGAGATAATGAAAAGACTTCTTTGGGATGCTGAAGGTGTACTGATAATTTAGGGGGTTAAGTTCCTCTTAAAAAGGAGTTCAAAAATTCTGTTTTTGAGAAAATAGACATAAAGAAATAATATTTTAGAAAATACTGAAGAGATATATTCTGTTTTTTTTTTTTTTGTACCAAGGATTGAACTAAGGAGTTCTTAACCACTGAGCTACATCCCCAGCCCTTTTTTTTAAATTTTATTTAGAGACAGGGTTTCCTGAGTTCCTTATGTCCTAGCTAAGTTGCTGAGGCTGGGTTTGAACTCACAGTCCTTCTGCCTCAGCCTCCTGAGTTGCTGGATTATAGAGTGTGCCACTATGCCTGGTTAAGAGATGTATTTTTGTTTTGTTTTGGTATCTATCATGTTTTCTTCTTCTTCTAGTTGGCTTCAAGCTTGAATCACAAACCCTGAGGTCAAATTCTGTAGGGAAGAAGAGAGTGGTTCCCATCAGGACAGAGAAGTTAGTAGCACCCTATCTGAGCTGGTGTATCACTAGCATTCTGCTAGGCTAGTCCTGGCTAGAAAAAAATGATAAAGAGGAGAGGTTATCCTTGTGGGAAGAAGGAGGTAAGAGAATCAGAGAGAGCAGATGGTGAGATGAGATGTCTACATGTACCTCATTAGACCAAAGTGCTGAAAGTGAAGATATTTTAGGTAGGGTGAGGTTACAGGGGAAAGAAGAGTGCCTTTGGCCTTACTTCCTTTTTTAGAGGCGGAAGTCTCCCAGAGAGATTCTCACCATACCAATGTGGGCAACCTCAAGATCAGATGAGGTTGAGGACCTAATTCCTCAGAATACCCTCTAGAGTGTTCAAGATGTTTCTGCAATACTATAGAAAACCATTTAGATAGCTAGTGGTACTGGTGGGTGAACTTATAGGATTCATATTAATGTATGTGGGACAGAGCAAAGTAACATTCCAAGAAAAACAGTGCAAATAGAATGGAAATTGATTTGGTATCAATAAGGCTGACAAACTCCTGATCCATCTGAGAAAAACTTGACAGTTCCTTAGGCCTACACTGAACGTCAGATACCAGCTGGGGGTTCCAGTGACCAGGAAGAGAAGCTAGAAAGCAAGGAATGTGGAATGTGGAATGATGTGGAATGTGTATCTGACACCCACTGCCATTCTCTCAGCTGCCATCTTGAAGAGAAGCAGGAGAAATGGAGAAAATGTAGAAAGCTTAGCCTTCCTAGAAAGCCTGGATTACCAAAGATGCTTTTGTTAAATGGAGTGTGCAAATTGGATTGTATTTGTACTTTTTTTTTTTTTTTTGAGGAGTGTGATCCACAAGAAATATAAAGAGTTGTGGAAAATGGGCAGAGGAGTTTCTATGCACAACTGAGTGCTGGGAGGTGAGACTAAAAGGAGGCCATGCAGTGTGGCGCACTTCTTTGGGGCCTCTGAATGTCATGGACATAACTAAGTTCTTTTTAGAGTTTCAAGAATTTTTTCTTGGGCTGGGGATGTGGCTCAAGCGGTAGCGCGCTCGCCTGGCATGCGTGCGGCCTGGGTTCGATCCTCAGCACCACATACAAACAAAGATGTTGTGTCCGCAGAAAACTAAAAAATAAATATTAAAAAATTCTCTCTCTCTCTAAAAAAATAATTTCTTTCCTTCATTTTTTCTTTTCTTTTCTTTTCTTTTTTTTTAACCAGGGATTGAATCCAGTGGCACTTAACCACGGAGCCACATCTTCAGCCCTTTCTTGTATTTTATTTAGAGACAGGGTCTTGATAAGTGGCTGAGAGCCTTGGTAAATTGCTGAGGCTGGCTTTTAATTCAAGATCCTTCTGATTTGGCCCCCACCCAGCCACTGGGATTACAGGCGTGAAACACTGTGCCTAGCTTTGAGTTTTAAGAATTTCTAAGTTGAAACCATATAGTAAATTTAGAATGGTAGATGATAAGTATACCATAATTGTATGATTGCCATTATTTAAGAGTTTTGCCATAAAAAGCTCTGTTCTGTAAGCTTGGGGAGTCAACTCCCTGTGATAGGATGATGAAGATGCTGCTTGGATTTGGGGTTCCTTAAATGAAGCCTTAAGAAGAGCTGGAGAAGCTGCCCTGGCTCCTCCTCCATCCTCTGCAGCATGCTTGCTGTTTGTTTCATTCTGTCTCCGAGCTGACTCTTGCTCCCTTCTCTTGTGTTCAGTGGGCCCTTTGTTCCTGGTCAGAACAGCTGATGGGACTGCTTGGGCCTGGTGACCCAGACAAGGACCTCTTGGATGAATTGTCTAACATGTAAGTTGCTGTAATCATCATTGATCAGAGCTCTAACCACTTCCCAAGAGGAAAGTCTATTTGTTCTATAATACCTGCCCCAAGAGTCAAGAGGGTTGTCAAAGTCAGAACAAGAGATTTTCATTTGTTCCTTTCAGTTTGTTCTTCAATGATTCATTGGAAAGCAACATGTCCAGTTTTCTAGGGAACTGTCATTTCTATCTCCTTCTAATTGATTTTCACTTTTCTATTATTAAAGATAAGAATGGAAATACAGTATATTTCATTCTGGACTAAAAGTTCCTTTGGTGGGGCAGGGTCTATGGCAAGGAAGTACTCCTGGATCAGATGCACTTCCCTGCCCGTTCCTCAAGACCTTGACCAGGCTCCTTGGACACTGTTAGAAGTCAGGGCTTGGAGGTTACTGGTGGCCTGGGGAAGGGTGGGGCCTCACTCCAGCTCTGCCTTGTGCAATTTTTCAGAATCAGTTCTGTGGACATTTGGGCTGGATCATTCTCTTTCTTGGGAACAGTCCTGTGCATTGTGTGATATTGAGTAGCATCTCTGGTCTCCACTTAATCAGTGCCAATAACACCTTCTTAGTGGTGACAATCAAAAATATCTCCAGACATGCCCAAATGCTGTCCCCATGTGAGAAATCTTGGCCTGTGAGCAGATGCCTATGTCCTTATTTTTGTTTTCACATGTGGAGAATGGAAGATTGCATTGCCCTGTGGGAACAGTGGCAGGTGGGTGGAGGACAAAGATGGAGGAAAACTGTGGGGCTGGGGATCAGACCTAGGGCCTTGTACCTGCTGGGCTTATACATGCTAGCCAAATGCTCAACCATTGAGCTATACTCCCAGCCTCTAAACAAAGCCTCTGAAGGAATTACTGTTCACTGTTTTTCAGTATTGTAGTTATGTTTGTTAAAGTACTTTTGATTGTGTTCAGTACCTTCATTGTTAAAGATATAAGATATTAATAATGGGGCATCTTAGTATGGGATTTTGGGGACTCTGTGCTATCTTTATTGTGTTTCTGGAAATCTAAAATTAGTCTAAAATAAAATTATATTTTTTAAAAAAGACCTTCATGAAAGGCTTCCAAACTCCACTGTATCCTGTGAGAGGTTGTTAATAAATTTATGCTATTCAAACCTTACACCTTTTTTCTTCCTCCAGTGAAAGGTGTGGCATGGAATAGGTTGAAGTAACATAATGCTAACTAAATACTTCTAACTGAGCAGATAAAGATATAGATGAGAAAGAAAGGGCAGCTTTGTTGAAAAATGTCTCTTTAGAAACTCAAGGGAAAAAGAATTGCAAATGTTTGCCAGGTGTAGATTGATGGCAGTGGGAATATAGGTATTTGTAATAAGAAGACATTTTACTGAGGAGGATAATAGAATATCTAGAAACAATGCAAGTTTGTGAGCCTGTCATCTTAAGTTACACTGAGGGAGTTATAAAAACAGTGAAGAAAATTCCCCTAAATAGCAGTTGGATTGAAGTATCTATTTTAGGTGTAAGTAAATAAATCCTTTTCACACACTCTCCTGTCCTCCAGCTGTGAAAACTGGTATCTTTCATGATTCTGGGCAAGAGTGAGTGGAGGGCATTTTTTTGTTTTGTTTTGTTTTTGTGGTACTGGGAATTGAACCTGGTGGTGCTCTACCATTGAGCCACATCCCCAGCCCTTTTCATTTTGAGACAGGGACTCACTAAGTTGCCCAGGCTGGCCTTGAACTTGTGATCCTCCTGCCTCAGTCTTCTGAGTAGTGGATGTCTGCCACTGTGTCTAGCTGGATGGCATTTTTAAGAAGGTAATTAATTTGTAAGATGTTGTCAATAAAAATAAGAACAAAGTGAGATATAGGATAGTTTGTCCCACTGTGGAGTAACTTTTATGTGCTAAACTGTGCTTGGCACACAGCACTTAGTGAGCAAATAATTGAATCATATTTCTTCATAGTATAAGAGAGAGTTAATTTCCTGAAACAAGCCTCATTTGTTCTAACTATTTTCCTGATATATCTTACTATGGCTAGTTCTGTGACCTAAGTACCTATGTGGGTATACCATGGTTTGGAGTGTTTTGCCAACATTTAAAACAGTTGCCAAATGAAATAGAGGATCCCTAGTTAAGTTTGAATTTCAGGTAAACAAAATTGTTTTAATATAAGTGTGTCCCAAATACTGCCAACAGCATTGCTTCTGTTCCCTTCTTTTCTGATAATCCATTCACATCGATTTATGTGCTCAACACATACTCATGGAGTAGCTACCCTGTGTGCTGCTAGAAGAGTAAGCAAAACCAGCATCTTTCCTGCCCTCGTGGAGAGGCCAGAAAAATAGGCAAACATTCCACAGAATTTCAGCAAGGCAAGTGCATTGAAAAGCGAAGTAAACAAAGGAAAGAGAATGACGCTGGTGGACAGAACATGTAGTTAATTTGTGTGAGAGGTGATGTTTCAGTAGGAACCAGAAAGATGCCAATGCGTGAGTCAGGTAGAGATCTGGGATAAGTATGTTTGTCCAGTCAGAGAGAGCAGCCAGTAAGTCCTGAATCTAGTAAAATTTTAAATATTTGAAAGTTGTTGTCAATTTGTAGTAATCTATTTTAAACACTCCCTGGCAATTACTTTTTCATAGTTCACTTTCTTTCTTTATTTTTTTAAAAATATTTATTCTTAAGTTTTAGGTGGACACAATATCTTTATTTTACATTTATGTGGTGCTGAGGATCGAACTCAGTGCCTTGTACATGCTAGGTGAGCACTCTACCACTGAGCCACAACCCTAGTTCCTCATAGTTTGCTTTCTGCAGCAAATCAGCAAAAAGCATCAGCGAACTGGTTAGGGGGTTTCCTACTGGACATGTATGGGGTATGGGGTATTCACATGATGGACAAAGAACCTGCTTATTCTTTTGGGTAGTTTTGCTGTGAAAGTCTCTGTGAGTTGATAATATGGTGACTTGGGAAGCCCAGCAATCAGGCTGCTAAAAAATGGAATTAGTTAAAAATGGTATTGACTTACAAACAACTTCTCTAAGGCACATTTTCCAATAAAATACAGAGTAAAGGGCCATGGAGTAATAGTGACTCTTACCTTTTTCTTTACTTTTTAATGTAAGACATTATTTACTAAAAATAGATATGAATTAAAACAAAACCCAGTAAACAATATCATTTTAATTTGTCAAGTTAGAAAAAAATGTTTTAAAATCTTAATACAAAATGCTGGTGAAGATGCACTGAAGCAGGTTCTAATGAGAGTATTAAAATGTTTTTCTTTAAGATGGTTACAAATGGGTTGGGAATGTAGCTCAGTGGTAGAGCGCTTTCCTAGCATGCATGAAGTCCTGGATTTGATCCCCAGCCCTGCAAAAAAAGGTGGTAAATAGAAGTTGTCTATGTTTATGGTGTACAACATGATGTTCTGAAATATGTATATATTGTGAAATGACTAAATCAAATCAATTAGCACAGTAATTACATATGCTGCATAGTGATTTGTAGTGAGAACACTTACAAATCTATTGTCTCAGAAATTCTTAAGTATACAATACATTGTTGTGAACTGTACTCAGTGCCCTTATTTTCTTAACCAAAACTTGTTTCCTACCTTCTAGTTCCTTGGCCAGTGAGCTTGGCCACATACTGAATATGGCTAACTCTGCATTGGATCCCATCCTATTCAAGGACACTGCTTTGGAAAGTTTCCCATCTTTTCTGTAACCTCCAATTTCTCCCCTCTACTGCCTATAGCATAAAATTGTGCTATTGAAAACAGAATGAATTTGGGGCTCACCCCTCCTTCTAAATTGGGAACATATTTCTCCTGTGAAGAGAAAGAAGCTAAAGGGCTCCAACCCTGACAGATGCCAAGGATGGGAGTGCAGATGGCCCACCAGGCCCAATACAGGTTGGCTAACTAAATCTACCTCATGTGTTATACCTGGATTTTTTTTCTGGAAGATATATCTGATTTTGTGAGTGGAGGAGAGAAGGAATCTAGTTGCTTCTCCCCAGTCTGATCAAACTGCATAAAGATCACTATTCATTTTTTCATCTTTTGCATATTTCTTATGTGGGTAACCAAATCCAGCCAGCCAGGATACCCAGTAATACTATATTTCTCCCATCTTCTGAAAATGCTCCCTTGACCTCCTGTCATCCTCCATCTATTGCTTCATTTTTAGGTTCTCCTTCTATCAAAATTCCTTTAAATGCCTGTTCCACCTGCTGTCTCCGCTGTCACTGAGTCCCTGCAATCCTCTGATCAGGCTTCTGGATCCGCCACTCCACAAACTTAGCATTTGTCAAGGTACCACAGCTCCATCCTGCTGATGTCAAGGGTCAGTCCTTGCCCTCAGCTTTTAATGATGGTCGCTATGCTCCTTGAAGCAGTTGGCTTCCAGATACTTCTTTCTTGATTATTTTTCTCCTCTCATACTAGACACTCACTTCTAGACACCTTTGCGTGTATCTTGTTGCTCTGATTTTTAAGCAAGGAATATTCCAGGGTTAGGCTTTCAAACATGTTTTCTTCTTTCTCTATTTCTATTTTCTTTATGGTCTCATTCTATCTCTATAGTGGTGTCTCACAAAGTTATATTGGCAACCCTGCCCTCTTCCCTGAATGGCTGTCTCCCATGAGCACCTACCCATTCAACGCATCATCAGCACCTCAAATATTATCTGCCTCCCATCACCCTGGCCCAATCGCCATAGCTCCTCACCAACACTTAATTTCAGAAGCTTCCTCATTGGCCTCCCTGTTTTTGCCCCTATCCCTTTGCAGCCTATTCTGGAAAGTCAGAGTAATTGTTTTTATGCTCATAGATCATGTCCTGCCTAGGCTTAAAGATCCCCAACTTTTCTTCAGCCGCTCAGAGACAAGTTCACGCCTAAGGTTTTACCAGGCCCTTGGTCCTCTGGCCTCCTGTCATTTCTCTGGTCCCTCTGCACTGGCTCACTGTCTCTTACCTTTGCACTTGATTTTCTCTTTCTGCTT